AAAAAGAACAGAATACAAAACATCGATACTGCACCTATCGGTACATTGATATAAAATGCCCATCTACAAAAAAAAAAAGGGTGAAGTTATGATTAAATACCAAGAACATAAAATTTTAAGTTATAAAAAAAAGGTCATATCATATACCTCCAACCCAAATTATCATTATCTGTGAATAATCCACCAATTATTGGGCTTGTGATGGATGCAATAATGAAAACAGCACCGACAAATCCTTGATATTTACCACGATCTTTAACTGAAACAATATCTGTAAGTATAATTAATACTGTTCTACATAAATAAAGAAATTATTTTTAGGAACAAGACACATTTAATGAATACAAAATTCTATTAAATTATTAAATTACACATACCCAAATATACCACCACCACCTATTAAAGAAAGCAAAAGATTTTTATTTGAAAAACACAAAATTTAATTAAAACATAAACACTAATAGTTTAATTTACCAAGGCCAGCCACCGCTCGAGAAGTTATTAGCATATTCATACTAGAAGATGTACCACACAAGATGCTACCCAATTCAAAAAGAACCATTGCTGTTAAAAATGTAATTTTTCGACCAAAGATATCAGCAAGTTTTCCATATGTTGGTTGAAAGGAAGTCTGATATATTAATTTAATGTAAATGAATTAACATTCAAATTTATTATAATAATAGTAGTATTAAAAAAAAAAAAAAACAGTAATTGATAGGTTACCGCAGTGAGCAAATAAGCAGTTCCAACCCACACAATTTTATCAACAGAAGCGAGATCTATTATAATCTTTGGTAAAGCGGTTGTAACAATAGTTTGATCTAAAGCAGCCATAAACATGGCAAAACATAGACTTTATACAAAGACGAACAATTAAATGTTTGTCGAATATATCAAATATATGAAAGGCCGTACCACTTTTTAAAGATTAATTAAACAACAAATACCCGAGGAAGACAAAACCAAATTGAATTTTAGACAGTTCTGTATGTATTTGATCATTATTTAAAACCTCATTTCTATTAGATACGTCTTCATTTCCAGATTCTTCATTAATGAGCGTTAAATCATTTGTTGCTACTTGATTTGCAAAATTCTCTTTATTGAGTTTTAAATCATTATTTTCCACATGATTTGTAGAATTTTCTTTATTGAATTTCAAATTATTCTTTTCTATTTCATTAAATTCCAAAACTTGAGACATATTTCAAGCTTACAAAAAAGATGTCAAAATAGAAAACAAAACTAGTTGTTTTTTATGGTTAGACATCGGTTTTTAACTAACGTTTAATGTACAACAATTATATCAGATCTGTTAAATCCTATGTGGTTACTTTTATAAATAATGAAAGACCAATTATGGTAAGGCCGAACAACTATGGTAATGGCGATGAAGTACCCACAATTCAAAATGCATACGACTTTTAATCAATAAAAAATTCCTAGTTACTGCACTTTTGAATCGTCATCCCATTTATTGCGGATTAATAATTAGGGTGTTCTCAGGCAGCTCCCTCAATGTGATTAGCTAGTGATAAGGATGTTGCTCAAATCATTGCGATCAATTGAGTGGTTAATGTAGTAAACCGAAGGACGACTTGCTAAAATTTCATTGTGCGAAATGCGGATTTTGAATTTTAATCAATCAGAGCAACTCTATGAAAAAAAAACGGTCTGCACCTCCAGATTTTTTCATCCAAGTGGTAACCTCTTGACTAATTTATTTAATTTCCGACTAATTAAAAATTTGCCTCCGATCCATTGAGTGAGGTGCTTGAGAACATCCTTAATTTGGATAATTAATTAATACGATCACGAGCCTTAACAATGATCTCACTCGTGTCACGAGTCGCAAGTGCGTACGTACGTAACACCGCAACAATATAAACACCAAATTAGAGATTGGATCTTCTGAATATCCTTCACAGTTATTCAATGAATATATACGGGTTTTGGTCATCCACGAATAACATTGAACGAATATATGAAGAAAATTCATGGATGTTCGTTGAGTACAAACATCATGCAATAAACAGATAAAACAATCCATTTATAGAGAACAAACAGGAATTTCGTTTGCCCCAGTCTATTCAACAGTATATATTTAGTCTTTTAATAAAATACGATTTGTTAATTATTGAAAATCTGAAGTTTGGTTTCTTTTTGGAGTCACTCATATTTATAATAGCAGCTAATAGATCTTTTAGCACTTTTAGCATTCTTGGCTTTTGTAATACATTACTGCTAAAGCATCATATGATATTAAATTACTGCTAATACATCACATGATATTGAATTACTCTCTATTAAATTACTCCTAGGTAATACATTAAATTACAGGGGTTAACAGTACAAGTACCCTATAATACCGACGTAACGACAATACAGAAAAACCTAAAAATTTCAACTTTATATGGAAATAATACGCCAATATAAATATAGGTTATCATCACAAAGTTTAATTTCCTTTTATATAAAAAGATTGAAGTATTAGGTTGCCTGCACCAGGTGTGGGAAATTTAGGAATTAAAAAAATAAAAAGCTCCCAAAAAAGATATTTTAAGCTTTATCGTTACGTAATCTTGGCGTAAATCTCTGCAAAAAAGTGGAACAGTTGCAGATTTCCGTATTACAAATTCCTAAGTTTCAAGGCTATTCTAATCGGATTTTTAATTTTGACTAATCCGAACTTCTTGATAATGGGTATATAAAAATCATTGTCTACATCTTATTGAAACGGCTGTAAATTCCCACACTTTATTGAGGATTATTCGGTAAATACTTAATTTCAACGCTCTATTAGTTATGCATTATCCATGCATTATCTTTATATATATAGAGTAGTGATGCAGTAGAATCGTCCCAATGATGTTATGGCTTAAGCCGTATTCAATCAGTAATAACTATATTTAGTTGGAAATCTGTATAATTCCTTCAGAATCGAAAAGTTGCCTAATTTCCCGTGATTTTACATGACACGATATTGGCAGAGGTCACACCTTTTACAGCTGTTTTCAAAAAGGTGTGAAGTATTGTAAAACGTATAAAAAAAATCATATAACATTCGGGTGACTCGGATAATTATTTCCTAATTTGGGACGGTCTCCCCTGGAGGGAAATAAGGGCGTGCAGCCGTAGCCAGCCGTTCCCATCCCTAATTAAGACTACTCGAGGTGGAAGAACTATTGAAAATATTTGTCGATTTGAATTTACGGCTCTTTTCATTATATCTTTCCAAAGTTTTCTTTCTAAGATTGTATGATATGGTTCTACTTTCTCAACAATGTCATCTCCGGATATTTGAAAATAGCGGATATGAGATAAACAATTCTTTAATGTATTTTTTAAAGCTAAAAAGTTTTCACTAGTCCAATTTTCTGGTCCATTTGGCGATAAGCCTGGATTTTGTGCGATTCCCCATTTAATGATATAATTCCAGATTTTTACTTCTTCCATTTGTGAATCATCTCGTTTAATAAGAGTTATTAACGCATTTTCTTGAAGTGATGTAAAATCTTCGGAGTCAAAGACATTATTTGGATACTTTACCAAGAAATCATTACACCATTTTTGTAAATTTTGAAACTGATTATTTTGAAAGCTTCTTTGATAAATAAGTGTAAAATGTAAACGAAGCCAATTAGCTTTTGTTTCAATTAAATGAATTTCAAAATGTTTAGCCAAATCTTCTAAAAGAAGCTCTGAAGCAATAAGCATGAGTTCAAAAATTAATGATGCCTCTTGATTTTCTAATAAAACCACCCCTCCGTAAATGTATCTTTATTATATTTATATATTTAGATTTTAAGATTAGCTTTTTGATGTATATTCATATATTATTAAATTATATAAGTTAATAACGTACTTAATAATAATTTCAAATTGTTGAATAGAAACATGGTTTAAATTAATTGTTTTGATGCTATTTATATCTTTGCTAGTGTTTGCCAATTCATCACGAAAGTACGATGATCTATATCTTAAGACATTCGAATGTGCTCGGAATATCTTTGTGTTTGGCGATTCTCCTGCATTAATGATTACGTTAAATCTTCTTTATCATCAAGAAGTTCAAGGTAATCTGTTGAAAGTTTTTCAAAGTGCTTTACTGCCATCTTTATTTTTGAAAGTTTTCTAAAACGTATATCTGAAAATGGTTGCACTACATAGATATTGTTGCACAAGTATCCGTATTTGAGCGTTGAAAAAAATTCAACACAGTATGCTGTATATCAATATCGATATGCCTATTTAAATTAAAATTTAAGTCGACTTATGACTACAGTAGTTCATTATACTGTACACTGCAATTAATTTTTACAAATTTAATTTGTATTACGAGAAAAATAATGAACAGATTAATATACAAATATCTATATATAGGTCATTCTCAAGCGCCTTTCTCAATGGGCTTGTCGAATAGCCCTGATTGACTGAAAAATTAATCGTACATGTTATTTCTTTCAGAGTTACTTTAATTTGCTAAAAATTAACATGTCTAATGAATTTTCAACAAACTTGTGTATTTATTCTCGCTCGGATTTTCCCAATACACTTAAATTTGGTAAATCAATTAAATCAATTAATTCAAGTTACATTATGAAGAAAACTATGGGAATGGTGCTGCCGCTGCCCATTTGAGTAAATATCTGGTTGCTTTAACGACTTAACTACACTATTTATCTCCGTTTTGTTGCCTCTAGACCTTCTTAAACGGTGTGGGTGCACGGTATCTCATTCGACTTTCCGGAAAGGTATGAGGTGCACACGGCTGTTTTATCCTACTTCAAAGCATAATGTGGGTGTACACAGCTATTTTTTCCTATTTCGCAGAACAGTGTGGGGTGTACACAGCTGTTTTATCCTAATCTTCGGAACAGTGTGGGGTGTACACAGCTGTTTAAGTCGTAAAATTTTTGGTTTTTACATACAATCTTGCTTTCGCAGCGTTGAATAGCATCGGTGGTAAAGTTCGATCGATCACCTAACTTAGCTTTTTTTTTTTTTTTTGGGTGGGTTGGGAGGAAGAACCTTTTGATTAGCCAGAAAATAGGGCTTCGGGCAACTACTAAAAAGCAGCGAAAGAAAAGAACAACTTCCCTTTTTTGAATTAATGGCTTATGTATACTTATCATTAGACTCTCCAGAATCAGTGCTCATCATCATAAGGAATTCATTGGATCTATGATTTCATACAAGCGTCACCAGGTCCAGTGACTTTCGTGATCATGTTCCTCGCGATAATGTCGTCCCTCCTGCGCCTTCGTCACAGTCGGTCTTAGTTTTGCAATCATTATAAAAATTTTATTTTAGTGCTGTAGTGTCTTTCTCAGTTATGGTTATACATAGTGAAAAGCTTCGGAGCCGTTCGACATCCGATGATAATCCAGTCAGTACTCAGTACTATGGTGTGCTGTAACTTCCTTTTTAAACCATAAATTACGTTTACGAATGGCATCACTGCACAATTTTGAAACTATAATTGGATATAACAATGTAATTGCAACGATGCTATAATGCTACCAGTTATCATTTACGATTTTTACTTAAAGTTGATTAAATAAAAGACCTTTTTAATTTTTTTCTCTTTCTATTCAACAGATCAACAATAACGAAAAATGTTGATTCGTTAATTACATTTTTAATATATGAAGGTTGATATGTCTCAGCTCTTGATATTTTTTTTCTACATTTCTCGATTTTATTCAAATAACTTTGTATTTTTAGATTAATGAGAATGTTGTACGCTTCACCTTAGTTAACACAAAATCGATGGGTCTGGTCGTGTAATTTATGGTGCACCAGATCAAGTCTATACAACATGAAATTTACAAAAAAAAAAATGCAAATAGTTCAAAAATTTTGCATATGAATGCCGCAAAGGGAAAAGCTTAAACTGGAAATTTAAATTTATTGTTATTTGCCAGACTTTGCCGTGAATGAAAAATATATAAAACGTAGAAACTTAATGTCAAAGTTTATTGCCTTCAAAAGTATATCACGATTACAAAAAGGCAATAAAAAGCTTTATTAATTCTTGATGATTATATCCTATGTATATATCGATATATTGCCATTATTATCAATAACTTGAATAATACGATTTTGCAGACTATTTTATTAAATACTATTTAATAGATAACGAAACTTTTGGATTAATAACGTGTTTATGTGTTACGTTTGATTGCTCTGAATTTATGAAAT